GATCTCCTGTCCATGCCTTGGTGGGACAAGCAACAAAGCATGATGTACCTATTTGTACTATTTTGCATGCAAGACCATGTCCTTTTCCCTACTTGGATCTTGCACCAAACAAGCCTACATCCTTGCGTGGGAGTCGACAAGGAGCCAAAATTCTTGTGTTTGACTCATGGGTCTACGAAGTCTACACTTACCAAGTCTGCATCCAGGACACCAATCTCTGCAAAGGGATGAGACACCAATTTTGTGGACCTGGCAGGCCTCAAAATGCAGCCCGTTTGGGGCGGCCTTACATTGCTTTAAGTTCTATGGATTGGTCAAACGGGTTCAGCCGCAAACACCGGAGCACATGCAAACCGGTTCTTGGCCCGCTGAGGATGTGGGATGGCAGATGGTCACCCGTCATGATGTATGTCGCAGCCTTTCCGGAGCGGAGTGTTCATTGCATTTTTTTAAAGGCAACTTTCTCAGTGCAAGTGTGAAAATCGAACTTGTCAATTCGCTGAAATTTGCTTGATGTGAAAAACACGAAGCTTAGTTGAAGTACCGCACAGTTCCTTAAGCCCTTTGCTATTTCACAACTGAAGCCACTCAGTCAATCATCGGGTGATCTCAGGGGTCGCCACTTTGCCTAGCGGACGTCTCATCAAGTCGTCAGACATATCTAGATGGACGTATTTGCACTTAAATATACTTATACTATTGGAGCCCGTGTATGATATGTGGATTTCTGAGAGATTCTCCCAAGGCCTTCATCATGTTCCTCTCGGCTCTGACTTGCAGCAGCCTGATCGCAAGCCACTCAGACCTTCTGACAGATCGAGGACAGCAGGATAACTCTTTGAAAAGGAAGAGTAAGAAAGACACACTTGTATTTGAGTTCCAATCCTTTGCGTGCTAAAAACAAGATTGACTGATCCAATGCAATTCCTGCTCCAATGCAATTTTGCGAAGCTTTCCTTTGCTTTTGTCTCACGCTTCGCCAGATCACCTCTGCCTGTGGGGCTGGCCTGGTCTCTTGCGCGATCTCCGTGCTCTCCAACAGCCCCAAGGCCCTGTGGAGCTCGCGGGCCGAGAGCTCGCAGCGGGGTGAGCCGAGACAAGAGCTCGCAGCGAGAAACAAGAAGCTAGCAGGTTGGAGGCCATCGCTATTAACTTGGAGGCCATTAATTGCTACTAAGTAGCTAGAAGCTACTAGTAACAAGGGGGTAGAATTTTGGCCGACGGAAGGAAAAACATGTGTGTTGAAGTTGAATTGATGTTGAGCTTTGAAGGTGTGAGGTGTGAGTTTCGGGAGTGTGACACTTCTAGGAAGACGTTCTGACCTTTTCAGTTTTGAGAACCATCACAAGAAAAGACTTGCACTACCGTGGACATCCGTAACTCCTAGTGACCCCAGGCTCAGGGATTGTTTTCCGTGTGACCTTCTAGACTGTGGCAGAGGTGTACAGACTGGAGCGCTGGCTATCATTGTGCAGACCCCAGCGATAGACCTGCTTGTTAAATCAGGACAGCTATGGAAGCGTTTGTGAATCATCAGTCCGCTGGCAAAGTTCCCGAACCTTTGCACCGAATGGAAATACAACACAGCTGCGCCATATACACTCTAAGGGTCAACACCGGATCAATAAACGGCCCCCCCCGCCTCTCCTTCGAGGTCGACAAGGTCAACAGGGTTTGAGATTGGAGGTTAAAGGTGATGACCACATCCCCTTATTTAATTATTAAAGGTCATGACCTGAGATGGATAATGGTTGATCGGATGACCTGTGTGAACACGGACGAGGCCTGTGAGAGGGGTACGTCATTTAGTGAGCTTGAACACGTACAGATGTTGATAGAGTTTTAATAAGGGAAAACAAACGAATTTTGCCAGAGAGGTTTTTAGGGATTAGGGATTGTGGAGCAAAGATTGCTGGGGAGAACATTCGCAGCTTGGATTGCAGCTTTAAACAAAATATAATATAGTAGAATACTATACTAATGATTCATTTGAACTTTTTCTGGGGCAGCTGGGCTTGATTAATAGGGGGAGGTTTCTGCCAAGAAAGAACAATTAGGGTGATGGAAATGTGGAATTCATGTATTAAATTATTTTAGTACTGGGGGCTCGAGCTGGGCTTGATTAATACAGTGGTTACTTAATCCGATCCTGTGTCAAGATCAAAAACATCAAAAACTGATCAGGACCAGGCTGAGGTTTGACACAGCTGGTTTGCAACACTTGAGCTTTGAAAGAACGTGAAGTTCATGCAACTTTCCAAATTCGGGTCAACGCGAACGATTGACACTGAAAACTCTGATTACCCGGACCTGGAAACTTTCGTTCGTGGTGCGAACGATTTTGACCCGTCTTCAGTGGCTACGAGCTTTGGAGAAAGTCCTTGGACAAACTTACCTGACCACCTCTCTTTGGAGATCCGCCTCTTTATTCCGCACGTACCGCCAGGTCGATCCCCTCACCTCCGAACCGGTCGATCCGCCTTTGGTCGAACCGGTCGGGTCCTGGTCGGCGCGTTCGTCGGAGGCCCTTTCGCTTCGCCTTCTTCGTGTACATCTTCATCGTGTTCCCGACCGAGAGCACCTTGGAGGCCGAGAGCGAGCACCGCAGCCGAGCACCGTGCAATGCGGCGTGCATGTCGGGGTACAACATGTGAACGTATGAAAGACCAAAGACACAAATGCATGTACTATGATGTCAAGACAGATTGACTTGAGGTTTGTGACGAAAACCTATCTCCAGTCTTGATAGTCTGAGAAAGTGTGACTCGTCGATGGTGTAAACACCGAAATAGAAGGGTCAGCAACTCTAGTTCCATTTCTGAGGTTCAGTTCGACCCATACTGCGAGCTTAAATGCAAAAAGACCAAATTATTGTTTCAACATCGCTTCCGGTCAGCTGGAATAACACTGGTTCTGTTTTGACCGGGTGTGCCTTATTGCACCCAAAGAGACATGAACAGTCACAGGATGATGTTGGATTCAACAATCACAAAAAACGAGCTAGTTAATCAGCCAACCAACCCACTCACTCAACTAACTAAGATAAAGCGCTACAGCTGAACAATATGGTGCAACTGCGCTGTAGAACATGGGCCAGAAGACCCCCTGGCCGAAAAAAGGCCTTTACTTGTGAGCCAACTACCACATGGGCCTGGACATGTTCATTGAATGTATCCCACCTCATTCGGCTTCGGAAAGGTCGCGGGCACGATCTTGGTGATCTTGCTGGCCAGGAGCTAAGTGCGAAGAGCAAAGAGAGATCCAGACTGAGGTCAATGGCATGTCATGGTGCGTCCAAGGGCAAATTAATAACAAGTTCATCCAAAGATCTACAACAGGTGCTTGTATTTGGCTGAACACAGGCTGATTGCGTAGGGCAACTATATAGTTCATAGAACCTCCCATCAAACATCTGTACTGGTCAGCCGCATCCCATCGACCCAGTGTGGGCCTTTCTCAATGGACTTCAGGTGCTCCTGGAGTTCTGGGCAGGCGATTGCAGCTTCTTCTCCACCTACAGGCCTCGTTTTTAAAGTAGACGTGCAATTCGGCAGACGTTCCACTAGTGTTATATATTTTGGTGTGTTGCTGATTTGAATGTCGCAGACTAACTGACTTCCGAAGCACTTTCAGTTGGGACACCTAGAATCTAGAAGAGAATCTAGAAGATACAACCAACTACTGTAGAATGTAGAAGATTCACATACTCCAACGAAAAGAACCTAAAGCCAGACTCCTGGAAGACTAGCGTAGCTTGTAGCCGGCATTTCAGCTTCCAACCTTAAATCTTGTGGACGATCTGAAAACAGGAGCTGTTCCGAGTCTAAAGCATTGGATCAGTTCTCAAGCAGCCAGCTAGTTGCAGCCAGCTGCGGCTTGCGACTGAAGGTTTCACTGTAGCTACAAATTGATCCGATGCGTTGGTGGCCGGGTCTTTGTGGCTTCCTCAGTGCGTGCTTCGTGGCAACTCGTGCTTCGTGGCATGACGAGTTTTTTCACATGATTCTCTTCGTTCCTGTTTTGCTTGCTTGTTCTAATCGTTGACAGGGACAGGTCCTGTGGATTCTTGCAGAAGCTTTGGATCATGTTTCTTTACCAGATAGAGATTTCGGGAGACCGAGAAACAGGGAAGCAGAGATAACAGAATCTGATATTGGATAATCTTAACTAGATCATAACTATCACTGTCCTCAAACTCATCAGCCAAAAAGGGCAGGTGCCCACTCTTCCTACCTAACCAATACGACCGCCATACGACTCTGCCGACTCTTCCCGGGCGAGGTGTGTGAACGTGAAGGAGCCAAGGGCTTGAACAGTCAGCTGGGCCGCGAGCCGGATCGCGCCTGGGATGCAGCGGATCCGGTGAGGATGAGGGTGATTGGGCTTGTATGAGCGTGGTATGTATTCAATAATTTTCAATTTTGAAACAGCAATATCAGGCAAAGAGTTCAAAGAATGCCATTGAAACCAGGATTTATAAAAGGATTATAAAGGCCGATGACATCCAACGGATCACCAACAAGTGCTTTTTGTATTGTTTTGTATTGATCAGCTGGGAAGTAAAGCTCTTGGTGTTATAGATTCACGCAGGGACGCAGTTTCGTGGCTGCCGGGTGGTATCACTGAGTTTGATTGTTGCGTGCTGTGTTGCACGCTCCTTTTTGAGGTGTGAGACGGTGTGAGAGGTGGCAGAATGTGAAGCACTATCCAGGGGCTATCCAAAGCAACAAATGAGTCATGCCGGAATCTATTGATCCCTGGTCCCTTATCAAATCATACAAACAAAACAACCACATATAGACTGCGTTCCTGTGTATTCCCCAAGCGTTCAGCCATCCAGGATCATCCAGGCATGTGCCTCCGTGATGTCTCCGACAGTTGGATCCAAGGAGTGGCTCCGGAAATCTCAAAGCTTCCCAAGTGGACAGCGCAGCTGGCTCTGGCGTTGGGAGGGGCGTTTGGGGATGGGATCTAGAATGGGATGTGGAGCTTCTGTGGGTGGAGAGTCGGAGAGCCAGAGTTGCTGGGTGAGTTCGATTGTGCTTCCAGATCGTCTTCCAGGCTTTGACGTGAAATGATTTCAGCTCCTTGTCCTGAGGCTAAATCATTTAATTGCAGAGATGGAAGGCTTAATGGTGGCAACTCTGGCTTGCTTTCAGCCGGTGGCGGGTCAACCGCGCGAATGGTTCGTGCTGAGAAACGACAGGAACTGCGGCCAATGACAGCAGAAGACTGGAGTGCTGCGGCACAGGCGCGGCGCCCGTGACTTTCCATGACTGTCCTCATCTTTGTTTGTTTTTCCGCTGGCAAGGAACATTGAGCCTTTCTTTCATTTGTGCGTGAGCTATTATTGTGTGTTTAGTAGGTAGTAGCTTTATAAGTAGCGCTATGAGCGAACAAATTTGTCCCTTGATTAAGTGGGTGCCTACTTAATTGAGCAATATGAAACAAGTGCGGGCAACATAAAAAGAACTTGAACTCACTGTTGATCACGTGCAAAAAAACCTGTGTCTTCTCATGTGCGTTTTGCCGATGTTTCGAACAAGAACAGTCGATGCAGCTGCAGGATTACAAAAAGAACTTGACAACGGTGTCTTTTGTCAGTGACTGCCCTAATGAGAATTGGAGCTGGGGCGGAATGGGTGACACCCTAATAGGAGTGCAGCGATGCATACCTCATGGCAATACTGTGACTACTGTGCCGTACTGTGACTTTGTGCTACAACTCGCAGTTTCTTGCTGTTTGACACTTCCCAATGCACCGCTTTGTGTGACGCACTTCTGGTTTTGACCGGCGCCACCCCCTCCGGGCTGAGGCTTACCAGTCTTCGAGTACGAAGGGCCAACCCTCAAGGCTGGCGTTGTTTTCTGCTGAAGGGCCAACCGTTGTCCAACCATGACATGACATGTAAAGCCTGGTGCAAATTATTTGATGCTGGTGGACACTTTGCTGTCCAGGACGAAGACTTTGATGAGAACCAGGCTTGGCAAAGTGACACCTTGCATGCACCCTCACATGTCAGTGCCTTTCCAACATGTTCAACCTTTGACCGCACAGGATCACATACCAGACAAGATGGCTAGAGGTGCAGTGTGCTGGCCTTAGTTCGTGTCGATGCGACAAAGGCCGGCATGCTCCGAGGACAGACGTAATAAGTTTCACTCACCCCTAGAGGCCCCTGTCGAGGTGTGTCGCTCTTCGCTCGACTCTTCATATTCGACTCCCGCCCTACTCCGCTGGAGGGAGGGTCGCCGGCTGGCTCGGAGAAAGACTCTTGTTCGTGTCAAGGAGAGGCACCCAGTTCCTCGAGACGCTGCAGAATTTCAGACAAGCTCGTGTGCAACTCAGTGGTGCATGAGAGCCATTTAGCTCAGGAACCTGATCACGTTGAGGGACGATGGGGCTGTTTGAGATCCTCAGCCAATGCCTAGAGCCCCTCCATCACCTTTTTCAACGTAGGTACAGGGTTTGGATCTACAGCTATCATACTTTCCTGGATATCCTAAGAGAGACCTGCCAGCAGACGTTCCTTTCGGAGTATGCTTTCGTACGGGCATTCCATCCGACTGTTGTAGCTGTGGATATTTGTTGAGTGCACAGCTGCCATCAGATGCAAGGTGAAATCTACGGCGGCCATCAGCAATTGGACTGGATGATTGAAGATCTCGACTTCGGTGGAGATTGACCGCGTATGACACTACCGACACTAGGTTTCCTCGTGATCCGATGTGCAACACACAAGAAGGAAAGACCTACGGTCACTGCACTTTGTGTCAGTTTGTGGTCATTAGCTTGCCTTAGTTGTGAATTGTTCTCTATGTACCGGGATGTTAGCAGTGAGTCAAGCAAACGAAAGCTTCCCACTGTGACGAATACACGGGCCTTGTAGTCATCCAGCTAAGCTGGGAATTCACAAGACCTGCATGTATCGTTTCACCTGAAAAATGGCATCCAGTGGCAGCTGAATGAGACTGACTCTGAATGGCTTTCCCCCTCCGCTGACTTCGCAATGACCCATCCGTTTGCATGTTTCTTCCGCAGCCTTTATTGGCCAGCTAAGAACCCATTGAATTGCCAGGCAATCGCACGACACTGCAGTGCACCGTTGTGACAAAGTAGCTACTGTTCATCCGCAGCAACACTTGCGATTGCAATTCTACAGTAATTCTACTTTGATACCGTACCAGCGGTATTGGATGGCATCTCAGCCATGTTCACAGAACTGGCCACAGCCATAGGCCATGCAGCCGCACATCTGCCCGCATCCCAGAGGATGCTCTTGGACTTTTGATGCCTTTGGGCTTGTTTGCAGCTTGGGAAGTCCATTCTTCCAGAGACATAGGGCTGATCCAATCACTTGATCCTTGAAGCTGCTTTGAGGGAGAGGATCTGCAGCTTCTCGGTCAGTTGTTGTTCTTTCCTCTGGCTGGCATTGGGCACAGAGACAGGATACTTCTGAGGTTTTCCTGGCTGCCTGGTGCAGCAGGCCGGGGGGAGAGGGGTACTTGGAAAGGTTGTTTGAGTCCGATCTTGCTTTTCCCATTGCTGCCTGGCATGGTATTTGGATGCATTTTGTTTGGTGGGTCCCTCTTATTTGGTTGATTTGTTCCTTTTGCAAGCAACTTTTTTGTGCCCCCCAGATCTCGAGTTGCCACAATTGCCGCCACATGTTTGGAGCTTTAGATCGGCCGCTTCACGGCTGCTTGATAAATATTTTGAGCTTTGAACTCTGACCATTGCTACTAAGTGTGATCATATTCACCAAAAGAACTCATGCGCTGGCTTACAGGGCTTCAGCATTGTCAGACTGGCCATATTCACAAGTTCCATCTCTGACGTAGTGTGGGGGGCAGTTTGCCAGGTCATGATCCCATCTGGACATTTGCATATGGTGCAAATATGGGAAGTGTCCTGGGCCCAGAATCGGGTCGAGCCGTGGCCTGGCCTGAGCGGATTGGCCCTTTTTCAAGCGGATCTGAGTTCTTGTGAGGCCAAACTTCACGCACTGGGAGTGCATCCAACCGAAACCTTGAAGGGAGTTCTACCTCACCATGAACTGATTTTTGATAGGCGGGAAGGGTATGGAAGGGTGGCATTGTCATTGTTTGGCGATGGGTTTCCTTAGTTTGCATGTTTCGTCACCGTTCACCTGAATGGATACTTCGTGACTTCACTAGATTTGGGCGTTCGCTTGCAAGATGATGTGAGCCTCACGTGACGAACAATTACTACTCAACCCATGCCACCTGAGATGAGCAAAAATGCTTTGTCATAAAGTGTCCGCCGATATGCTTGGTCACAGCCAACAAGATGAAACACCTATACTGGTACCGGGCTTTGAGTGGCTAGCAAAAGATCAACACCAGGACCGCTTTTTTGTGTGTCGTCGACCCGCTTGGTGTGTTCTGTTCGCGCTTGGTGTGTTCTGTTCGCGCCAACACACGCGATCCAACGCGCCAGTTCCTTGCGAGATGGACCGGCAGAGCCATCCTTTGCCGACGTCCCAGATGGACCGACACGGACGAGTCGTGTCCCGGACGGTTTTCCACGTGTGGATCCTTTCGTCTTCGTCGCCGAGGCGAACATCAGGCACACAGAGGATCCTTTCTACGCCTTCTCTGTGTCCGGGTCTCACATCTTGGTCGCGAGCGGAGTCCATCGTTTGCTCAGCAAAGATTGCACCTGGATATTTCTATCATAGTATCTATCATGTATTGCTGTACCGTTCTTGTTTGATCATGTATGGCATCTTCTCTTTGAGGTCACCGGTTCAAGGTGTGGTGCATCACATCAATCAAGCCGAGCTGGCCAAGTTGGACGTGTCGGAGGGTCCGCTCTACCACCGCGTGCAGATGAAGCTCGATTCGCAACGGGGGACGGGACGGTGCTGGGACCGGTCATGGTGTTAGCAATGGTGGTGACGCAACGGTCGTTGTATGCGCAACTCAAGGGGCGTTGTATGCGACGGCACCCTTTTCAAGAGGTGCCAAGGAGTTAGGAGTTCCCGGAGTTTTTCCACATAGTCCCTTTGACTCCTTATTATGCTTCTGGATATTTTGGCGTACTACATGCGACGGCAGCTACAGATCATTTGAGATGAACATAGTAACATAATAGATGAACATGATATTGAAGCCTTGGGCTTCATGAAGCCAGTAAAGCGGATTTGCACTTGGCTGCTGCTTGGTGCAAGTGTGCTTTGGTCTTTTTGTATAGTATTGTCGGCAAACATGTCAGTCTCGTTCCTATGTTTTCTCCAGTCTCTGCTCCGTGTAAAGACCAAAGACCTGAAGCACCCACAGCCGGTCCAATGGGAAATGGCGAATGGCTAGTCGTATGAGCGAGAAGCAGAGCCGGCAGATCACCCGAACCAAAGCATGGAGGTTGAGATCCATTTGAGACCCTCGAAAAGAAGGAATTTGCACCACTTTATATCTTGTTTCACAATGTTTCACAAGTTGATGAGGAGATAGTGCAATAGTGGTGAGCGAGCGAAAGACAAAGGTTGATCTGAGCACAAGCCTGGGGCTATAAGAAGTACAGGCACATATAGGATCAGATAGGCACCGGGCGGTAAAGTTTGCTTCGTTGGATTGTTGGAACTGAGTTTGGCCAGATGGCTAATTGAGGCCAGTGCGTGTCAATCTACCGCATGGACAAGACAAGGTGGGCCGTCCGGACACATATCTGGAGGGCGGATCCATTCGTCACCAACACCAAACCACAAGAAAGAGTTTCATGACATTGTCACTAACAGGGTCCATTCTTGGTGTCCATTCTTGGTTTGATGCCAGGACAGCACCTTCTTAAACAGTTTACGCCTCTCGTTCTAGACGTGTTGGCGAATGGAATTTGATCGGGCATGTGTTCAACAGCAATCCTCATTTGAAGTGCATTCAGATCCAAACAACATAGACAAGTATTCTGTTGCTAGCAAAATCGCAAAAGCAAAGCAGCCATGCTGGGCCATGCTCGACCTGAAGCAAGGAGAAGCTTTACATGCACAGTAAATTGCGTCCAATCTCACCAACATGGTCAGTAAGTTGTTCTCCTTTGTGAATCTTGCCTTCGGAATACATGTTTCCAGAGCATCCTTGTAAAACAGGGTTATAGTTTGTTTTTTCTGTTTAGTGAATCAACCCACCCACGTCACAAAACCACGTCACCCACGGTCACGTCTTGGCGAAACGTCTTGGCGTAAGTCGTCTTTGGATGCCTCACTCCACGCCAGTTGATGGCCTGGACCTATGTCGGTCACGATTCCGATCTGGGGCCGACAGTTCCGGGCCAGGCCGTTGGGCCCAAGCGACCGGCGGGGACTGGTTCGTTTGAAAAAGGCAGAGACGGGACAAGCAGTCTAAGCCGGCAGTCTAAGCTGGATCGATCCCTTTTTGAGCTTGCCACAGGTGGTCACAGGTGCAGATTTCTTGAATCCAGCCTCCAGATGTGTTGTCTTTGCATCTTGAAAATGACACTCCCCTATAGGAATACAATCGGATGTGTCAGATAAGTCTATATATAGATGAACAGCTGCTCAGGACTCAAGTCATGGAGGGCAGATTCCAATCGGAAGAGCTCTCCAAGGACTTGAAGATTCTGACGCCTTATTGTTGAACATTGAACATGAATCATTTGGGATAGTTTGTCTTCTGAAAGTGTTCGAACGGTTGAACGGTTCGTTCCTAGCATCTCGCTCTCGCTCTCACGGTGTGTCAGTGGTCCAGGATGTGAGCGCTATGGGCAGTTGATTCATTTGATCCACTGTATGTTGATGTTGCATGCTTTTGAGATCTTTTGAGATTTTTTAGAGGACTAAGCATGAGTAGACTACTTGGGAGAATAGTTTCTCCTACTCCTACGATTGGAGAATAGTTTCTCCTACTCCTACGATTGAGTCACGCTAGATTCAAAAGGGAGACCTTTAGCAAGCAGCATGAGCCATGGTCACCTCGTATTCCATATCGATGTGACGAACGGTGCAACCGTCCTTGTTAGTGTGGGCTCCTCACTGGAAGTGGCTGATTTGGAGCTTGAAGAGCTTCATCAAGCTGCCAAGATTCGGCAGCATACGCCAGATGTCCAAAGGCTTTTCGATCAGCATGGCTTCTCGTTGAATTCGCTGGGCCGTGAGCTGAAGAATGCGCTGGAACGTGCTGCACCTCAAGGATCCGAAGCCTTTGAAAAGCTGCGACGGCTTTGGAGAAAGACCAAGAAGAAGCTTGCAATTCTTGAAGCAAGCACTCCCACCAGGGCGGGTCCACGAGCTTTTGTCGATCAAGTTGGCAGCAATGCGGCCTTGGTGTCGTGGGAAGTCTTGGAACATTTGACCGAAGGTTTCTGGCCAGCCAAATCGGACTGGTGTACTGATGTGTACTGTAAGGTTTATATCTGCAGTTGGTTTCTCTCCTCAGAGGTCATGCCAAATCCAAGACACCCACATGACATGTCCTTCTTTTGGTGCGAAGGAGACACCCCAGACATCCCAATCACATCCCAGACACCTGCCGTCACCAGCCGTCACCGGCCGTTCCCGAGGTTTCTTTGAAGTGGTCCTCTTGGGCTATCAGGAACGCACGGAACGGACCTCGGTGACCCGCTCGGTGCCACGCACCTCGAGTCCGCGCGTGGCCAAGCTGGGGATGTTTCGGGTAGAAGGAGGCCATACAGCTCGAAGCTATCGACTGGGTAAGCTTCAAGCGCTTCGGTGGTATCGCGTGAGGGTACGAAGCGTGGGGCCTCGAAAAGGATGGATCTCTGAGTGGAGCAACGAAGTGGCCTTTAGAACCATGAGTTTATCTGCAGCCCGGGATTCTGGACTTTTGGTCAACTCAAGCAACTTCCTGGTGAAGTCGGAGCGGTTGTTGCGCCACTGCGTTGATGACAGCACTATCTTGGAAGCAACTGCGGAGGAGAGGAACAAAATCCAAGTTGTCAGAGACATTCTGGGAGCTTCCGGTGCTCAGACGAGTGCTTCGGCTACAAGCAACCTCTTGGGTGCACGCTATGGTCAGAAAGGTTGGCCGGATTTCGTGAAGAATGGATCTCGATTCTCTCGTCCAGCCAACCAGCGTGAGCAACGCATGAGGCGTGTCCGCTTGGCCGTTGCTGCGATTGAGCTGTATGGACCAAACTATCCACTGCAGAACGCCTGGTGTCAAGGTCCATTTTGCTATGAAGAGCCTGGAATGAAACACATGTCGAAGTTCTCTGAGCAGGAAACTACACGGCTATGAGATAGATGAGTTTTTTCTGTAGTTTTTTAGAAAGCGGATAGCAGTGCACTTGCAGAGCCATTGAATCCGTCGAATTCATGTTCCGCTTACTCCGAAATGCAGAGAAAGAGAGAGAGAGAGAGGGAGGAAGAGGCTTCCCTATGGCTTGTGAAGCATCGATTTGGTGGCATCTTTGCCAATCTTGAGCGTTTATCGAATGAACAGCAATGAAAGAGCCCAGATGGGCCCAAATTAGACATGATGTTGAACAGACAGTATACACAGTACATCACAGTACATGTCACCGAATATGGTGTCTTGAACAGGTAGGACCTGCCTAGAGGTTAGGAATGGCCGGAGGGGTTCGGATTTCGCGCTGCTTGCATGCAGGACCCCCAAGTGAGCGGTATGCAGAGTTGGTTGTATGTGGTGCCAAGGACTACTTCGTGGTGATTCGCCGCATTGAGCATTGAAGGAAACTTTAAGGAAACACCAGTAAATGGTTCTACTGTAATTCATACTATAGTAACAAGTGCATCGCTACTGCATCGCTAGTAGAAGCAAAACTAAAATGGTTCATCTCAAGTCTTTCTTCTTTCATGGAGGCTCACACGCCAGTTTCTGCCCCGCTGGACTGAATTTTGATCATCAACTTCAGCATGGCATTGTTGCGCGTTTTGCACCGTGTTCAACCTGCAAAAAAGACCCGACATTGGTCTCACTTGGAAAGCCACCTTGCCTTCTGCCTCTAATGTGAGTCAGGAGCAGCATCTCCCGGCATCCTACCTCGCTCGCCTGGAGCGGCACCTGGAGATGTTGGGCCTGGCCAAAAGCCGCTCGGCGGTTCGTGTTAGGCCACGGAGAGCACGGGGGACGACCCAAACAGCGGTGAGACCGTGGATCGAGGGACACACAGCAGAAGGTCCAGCAGAAGGTCCATGATGTGTACTATCTGGTACTATGTGGTACGTTTTCCATGTGGTATATAATTACTCATCCGTCGGCAGTCTGACTTGGTCAAAAGGTGGGAGGGGAACCTGAGGTCTCATATTCTCATGCGAGGCATTGTCAGCTTTGGCCAACTTGGCTTCCAAGCCGCGCGGGACGCACGCAACGTCGTGCCCGGCCGGGCGGGGTCTGGGACATGGCGATGCGCATTCCGGTGCGGCACATGAGCGGTAAAGTGACGGTGGTGGAAGTGAGCCCAGACACGACTATTGGGAAGCTGAAGATGCAGATGAGAGCATGGTTGCCGTGTGAAGATGAGCTGCGCGGAATGTCCACACTGGAATTGTCTTTAGGGGAGACAAGGTTGACCAGCAATGACCAGACCATCCACGAGGCAGGCATATCTGAAAATACCGCATTGCAGGTGCTGTTTAGCATCCATCCGACTCATCCGACTGTTTGCCTCCGAAAAGATTCCGGATTGCATGTGGACTTGCTGGAGGTCAGCATCCCAGAAACTGCCATTTGTATTCCAGCAGGTGCCTTTGCGGATTGTGGATCATTGGTGAAGGTCACCATCCCCAATTCGGTGCTTAAAATCAAAGAATCTGCCTTTGCACGCTGTGCGTCCTTGACGGTCGTTATCATGGCTGACTCGGTGATTGAAATTGGACCATCCGCCTTCGAAGGCTGCAGCTCCTTGACCAATCTAAGCATTCCTGCCTCCGTGAAAGAGATTGGGGACTTGGCCTTCGCAGGCTGCATCTCATTGACAAAGCTCACCATTCCTGAAAAGTCCGTGTTTGAGATTGGCAAATTTGCCTTCGCAGGCTGCAGCTTGTTGACGGACCTTGCCATTCCTGTGTGTGTGATTGGAAAGTCTGCGTTCAAAGCCTGCAGCTCATTGACAGACCTGGTCATTCCCAACTCTGTGGAAGTGATTGAAGAGTTTGCCTTTGCGGGCTGCAGCTCGTTGACCAACTTGATCATTCCTGACTCCATGGAGGAAATCGGTGCCTGCGCCTTTGTCGACTGCGTTTCTTTGACAAGTTTGAGGATTCCAGAGTCTCTGACACACATCTTCCCCAGTGCTTTCAGAGGCTGCAGCTCTTTGGCGAGCTTGAACTTTCCAAGCTGTCCAAACTCTCACGTTCGGGTGGGGAGTCAGGCCTTCCAAAGCTGCAGCTCCTTGACAAGCTTGACCCTTGAGTCAGCAGTTCTAGTGGGAGACTCTGTTTTTGAAGACTGCAGTGCTCTAACCAGCGTCACCATCTCTGGCGCTACAAGCACCATTCCAGATCACACCTTTGCACGCTGCAGCTCTCTGAGAGACTTGAGGATACCAGGAGGTGTGACTCGGATTGGACATTTTGCTTTCATTCAATGCACTTCATTGGGAAGTGATGAGATGACTTTCACCATTCCCGACTCTGTGATTGAGATTGGAATGGGTGCCTTCGGAGGCTGTGTGTCCTTGAAAGATGTAAGGATACCGGACTCTGTGAAAAGCATCGGTTCACATGCCTTTGAAGACTGCAGCTCTTTGGCGAGCGTGATCATCTCGAAGTCTATGACCGCGATTCCTGAAAGAGCATTCTTCAACTGCCGTAGTCTGACCAAGCTGACTATTCCTGACTCTGTCAAGACCATTGACGGCTGTGCCTTCACCCATTGCCCTGCTTGGACCCGTCTCAATGACACCGAAAGTGTGGTGATTGATTCGCCCTGAGCTTCACCGATCGTCAGCCCACCGAAAGGACACCCATCAGACCTCGATCTCTCCGCTCTCGGCGACGGAAGGACCGGCGAGGACGCACCCGGGAGCCGACACGACGGCAGCACCCGGCGGCACGGAACTCGCCTGGGCCGCTCACGTGGACTGGGTCCAGATTGGCGACTGCGCAGGCTCGAAACCACCATCTCCACCGCTCCAAGTCTGGAAAACGGGTTTGGGTTGGGAATGCAGTGGTTTGGAGTGGTTTTTGGGAAGACACAGGAAGTTTATGCGGCAGTGGTAAATTCAATTCCAGGGTGTGAGCCAAACTATAATGAAGTCTTGACGATGGTTTGCCACATGAAGGTTCCAAGTTCCAAGATCTTCAAAGTACCCACCCGCAGAACCGTGGTTTGGCTCCATCATGCTCCATCCATTTGGCATCATCGCTGGGTGGTTTGAAGCGCCAGCTGAATCAACAGGTTTCCTCAGATTGATCGGATTGGGATCCAACAAAGTCGGGTACGCTGGAGGATGTGTTTTTCATGAAGGTCAAGCGTGATCGGGCACAAACCTTTGTTTTTTAGGAAGAGACCAAGTGATCACTTATGTGAATTTCATGTTGATCACATTGAATCTGCTTAGTGCCCAGTTCCTGAGATTCTTTCTGAGGCTCTGGCTTCCTGACTTTAAACAAATTCACATCTCCCACCCCAAAAGAAACGTTGGAAGGGTGCTCACGCAGTGGATGCCTTTGTTGGGAGGGGTACCAATAATACTACCTGGCCCCCCCAAGAAGTGGTTAATGGACACCCCTTAAGCTCTAAAGGGCTATTGATAGAAAGCAGCTTTTCGGGACTTTTCCTTTTGAACCCTCTGGCCACTGAGGTCACTTTGCCTGCCGCAACTTGCATCCACATGAAGTGACTGCCGCGCAGCCGCTTGGAGAGATCACAGAGGGGAGTGAGTTCAATGGATGACGTGTCCACCGAGTGAACAGATTATGAAGGTCCCAAAGGCAGGCATGTTGTCGATGTTGTGGGCAGATACCTGCTTTACGGGCCTGCTTTACAGGTTATTCTTGCTGCCTCACATACTGCCAATTTGTTTGCAACCTCTCGTCCACCTTCGGATGTGAGGATTGGGGAGTAGATATGCACGAAAACGACTCAGTTGTGTGTTCAGAGCTTGAAACTCACCAAATCATGCAACATCTATAGACTCGAAAGAAACATCTCATTTTCACATGTGTTTCATTATGTTTCACGTATATCTTCACCATGGCTCACTTGCAGTAGGCCCTGACTCCTAGAATCTCGGCAGTATGTAACATTATGTAACATACCGGGACCGTTTTTTCTTGAGATACCGGCGGTATTGACTGACTCGGTTTTTTCTATCGAGTCGTTTCTATTTTTTGCAGACGGACCAACGACAAGCTTGTTGTGCAATTCCGGGCGGCTGAACGAACAGAAGCTTCTTGAAGCTCCTGGTTGGATTCAGCTGTTAGGAGCCAACAGAATGGGGGCCTTGGAGCAAGCAGGAGCAAGCAGTAGGCCAGTACCTACGAAATGGTGCAAACATTGAAATGTCCTGCGTGTGGGATGCCTGGGATGACCACGCCCCTAGTGGCATCCTTGCTCCTAGTAGCGATGCCAGGAGCCCCTAGTAGCGTCCTTGCTCCTAGTAGCGATGCCAGTAGCGTTCTTGCTCCTAGTAGTAAGGCCAGGAGCCCCTAGTAGCGATGTACATTTTATAGCATTTTATACCTCAAAGCGAGATCTTGTGAGCCCAGGTCAGCCGTTGGCCATGTTTGCGCCGCCGCGTTCCTGTTTGACGTCAATGTCCACAGGAAGAGAACTTCTCAGCAGACATCAGAGCCACCTGCTTTGATCGAAACGGTGTTGCTCCAAAGAGTATGATCGAAAAAGTGAGTGATGTGCACCGTGACCCATAAGAAGATTAAGAAGGATGCCCTGAAACACCACCAGAGAGTGAGGCGAAACACCATACACTGAAAAAGACGTGTAAAATACACGCGATAGGAGGAGGCCCTGTCACATCGTGCTTTCCACATCTTTCCGCTGTCACGTCGCCTGAGAAACGGACGGCGATTCGTGATGAAACGCCCCCCCTGTTTGTCCGTCGCCGTTCTGCATTCAGCCATAGTGCTGAAATTCAGACAAGACACAAAACCGGGAAAGATGCTTTGAACCTTGATGTCTTGTTGGTGTGATTTTTGTCTTGATCATGTTTCCAACCATATAATGCATCAAAATTTGCTCACCACTGACAACAAAAGCAATTGGAGCAGTGACAAAAGACCACCAGCCGGTCACAGCGTTGAGAGTCGCAGTGGAGGCCATCCTTCTCAGATGTGTTGCCTTTTCGTTGAGATCAGGTAACCTTACAGCACACAGACCCCACGGACCAATCTGAACACATTGGATGTCGGCATCCATGTCCTTTGCGGCCAAAGTGCGCATTCATGGACGCAGGCGCATTCCGCGCTTGAGCGCGCGGTTGCGCCGCGGCGCAGCGGGTTGAGGCGGATGCCCCACCAGACAAAGCCCAGAGGGTTTGATCGATCGACGAGACCAATCGACGAGAGATCCGATGCCGGCGATGCGAATTCAGGTGATGAAGCTGAGCAAAGCACAGGAAGTTGCGTGCGGGTGTGCGTGCGCTTCAGGCTGCGGTTTGGTGAAGGAAACACAGACCAAAAGACTGGGTGAAATAGGTTGAAATTGGACGATTTGGTTCATGATTGTTCATGATTGTTCATTGTTCATGATTGTTCTATATGCCTGTATGCTAGCCTGCAGTCACTTGAGATATCTTACATTACAACTTGTTCTGAGGGAGGTCTATGCTGATTGTTTAGCCGGGTCTCAGAAAGAAAAGGATCTTGATCTTGTTTTGGATTTCTGGCAGGATGATGTATGATGTCTTGTCACGATACAAGTTGATATGTTTGATGGGTTGGTAGTTGTAGCTTGAATCCCGGCGAAGCAAGTAGACTTGTAGCATGAAGGCCTGTGCTCCAGTACAACATGTGTGGTTCCTTGGTCAGCCACCCGTTCAAAGTGAACACCAAATGCCAAGAGATCCAAAGAGTCATTAAGGCAGACTTCTTGTTGCCGAAAAAGCAAACAAGCCTTGGCCAGGCCACTGCTACCAGAGGATCGGGATGGGAGTCACCTGTATGCCATAAACATCGATAAAACACATTTCCATGTGAAGGGACTGTTGATTATCCTCCCCAAGCATGCCTGCCTGCATTCTTGTGCATGCCTGGATCTGGAACTGGAAGATGAACTTGAACCCCCCTTGGATCTGGAACTGTTCCAACCACCGGCCACTGAAAGGGACACACGGCACATGGAAGGCAAGTGTCAGACACATTGATGCGAAACGCCGGGCGGTTCCTCCCACCAACGTATATTTCTACACTGTTTCATTTGACAGGACATCACTCATTCATTCCCCACAACTCCACTTGCACCACCACCAAAGACTACAGTTACAAAGACTTCTCCCGAGTCTAGAATCATAGACCCCTGGAGACAGGGCGCACACAGTACTGTACAACCTCTACTTGGGTTGGAGAACATGCAACATGTGAAAGAATAAATACAGTGCTTTCACAGTAGATGGCACAAGTTACTCCAAGTTCAGTAGTGGTTTACATGGACTCCCAACCACATCACCACATCTGTTTAGGGTAGTTGTGCCATCTACATCTACTCTGAAACTGCACAGGTCTAACTTGATGTAACTTATGTATACAAGCTACCATTCAGGCCTCGGTTCCAGTCGCCCAGTGAGAGGAAAGTGGACCCAGCGGGCGCATCACTTGGGACGAGGCAGGCGCCCGTCACTGCGACGACTCGCACGGTCAAGGGGGATACGACTGTCAATCTCATTGCTTGGGTGTTGGATCTACTTTCCCGCAACTAACGGACTATAATGGAATTGTGTGTGCCATTCTGAGCCTGACACCGCCCCAAACAAATGGAGTTCGTATGTACTTCCTTCCAACCAATCTGGGGGTGGGATCCGGAGATGTTTGGAGCCTTCGTCATGCCGAGAGACAATCCCATGTCACAAATGTGTGGATCTTCATCTCACGTCGTGATGCTGCGAACGTGGTGCGTCAAGTTGAGCAGAGAAGAATTCTTTAGCTGCTCGATGCGAGAAGTTGTTCGGAAGGTGGCTAATGTTTGCTTTGCCGACAAATAGCCGAACTGGTGAAACACGTGGCTTTTCAGCAGCTATCAGGAGAATGCGCCAAAAAGAGTCTATACTACAGGAGGTGCCGGAACCTGTGAACTTCAAGTTCCCATTGAAGCTGTGCAAGCTTGTGTCGCTGTCGGTATCAAGTATCAGCTTGCAGAAGTCATTGGTGACTTGGATTCTGCTCAGTCTCATCTTGTAGACAAACAATGAGATTAATCACACCTTTATTGTAGGATCATTCTGTGATTGTCACAGATTCTTTTTGCCTGCAGCTTTGTACAACAATTGGTGCACAGTAAAGTTTTACACTTGATCCTCGCAATGATGCGTCCAAAGCAACTCGTGAGGGAGCTCAACATGTCCCTGTTTTAGGAAGAAGTGATGCTGGGAAGACCTTTGAATTCGAGCTGGACTCAGCAACAAACAGCTCACATGCGCAGTCAAGCAATCGTTCCCTCCCAGAATCAGCTGCCTGAAGTTGATTCTCAAAGCCGACATGTGAGCTCCTAGCACCGCTGAAGGGCCATCCTCAGCTTCTTCCATGTTTCTTCTGTTTGCAGCGAGCGCTCAAGTACACCATTGCGTGGCCGCAGACTGTTTGTAATGGTAGTACACACATGCGTGAGCAGCCAGTGCTTTGTCAGAATTTGAGGATCGGGTTTTCCCACCACAGACATCGCAGGAGGAGGCATTTCTGAGTGTGGGTGGAACATGGTGGAACAAGACAGGCTGTGTATGACCATTGTACTAGGAACACTTGTGGCTGTTCATTGTTTGCCTCTCGTGAGCTTCAGCCTACTGCTTGTTACATACATCCATCGGTCTCTAAATACAGCTTGCAGCGCTTTTTTGGCGTGTGCTTTACATGGGAGCTTGACTTCTCCTCTTTGTGTGAGTGTCACGCACAGCTTCCAAAAGGAACTTGTGCACTGAACACTCTTCGAGTTGGTACTGTGGAGCCCACAGGACAAACTGTGGCTAGGACTCTTGTTGAATAGGCAGGGTTTGGTAGAACAAACGACCCACATAGGCGTTTCATGTGTCTTCTACCAAGGGAGTCTGAACCATTTCGGAGAGGATGTTTGATCCTGTTTTGCTTCAAGGTGTTCCAGAATGCTGGTGTAGACTCCTTCCTGGATTCCGTCCTGGAGGGCTATCACGCTACAGTCTTTGCTTATGGCCGGGATCGCAGTGTGGGGGAAAAAGTGAAGCAAGAAGGTTTGGATGCTTGCGATATCTTGCGATCAAAGATTATGTTGTAAATCCTTGTGACGCATTGGATTCGACCTCCCAAAACTGGACTTGACCAGCGTGGTGCTCAGGGCAGACAGGCAGCGGAAAGACGCATACCATGGAAGGGTGCACTCCTCAGGTTTCGGGTGAAACACGTGCGACCCGTCGTTATGTTGGGCCATCGACCGGAAAGTGGGAAGTACGTAGGATGCAGGATGACCAGACGAACAAAGAGGGAACGTGAAGAGATTCCTTCTTGCTACGGCTGCTACGGGTAGGAGATATATAAGAGATATCAAGAATACGTACAATAAAGAAACGCTCCGAGCACTACCAGCAGACACCTCCTCAGTCTGAAATCACCGTCAGTCGGAGAGTGAGATCACGCGTGCCGCGCTCGCTGTGTTGTTCTCCACGGATGTTCCAAGGTTTGTATACCAAGCTGGGACTCAAAGCAAGGCTCCACAGGCTTGCACATCAGCTGTGAATTACTGTATATAATATACCCGAAGCATACCCCCGAAGCATACCCTCTGGAAATGCTACTACTTTAGTCTTTACACTGCGCGAAGCATACCCCCGAAGCATACCTCCGAAGCATACCCCATAGTCAAACATCCCGGCCCGGGAACCTTAAAAAAATACAAACCCATATAGATTCTGCTGTCGTTTGGACAGTCTGGGGACATTGGTTGACCTCTCTTTTCCACACCTACGTGTCAATACATTATTGTGATCTTTTGAGGGGTTCGTCCCGTGCTTTTTGTTTCTATTTTGGAAGGGATTTGTTTGCTGCTTGAAATCACGAAAGGTAGCCCTTTAGGGGATACCTTGAGTTTGTCTTGCGAAGCAAGTGTTGGGACGTCCGGGTCTAATAATTGATCGCTCAATTCAGACCCCCCCCCACCCCCCCACCCCCT